GACATAATTGATTTGTTTTGAACAAGTCTGCGAGAATTATGAGAATCAGAATGTAGAGCATGCTGATAGACATAATCGATTTGTTTTGAACAAGTCTGCGAGAATTATGAGAATCAGAATGTAAAGCATGCTGATAGACATAATCGATTTGTTTTTAACAAGTCTGCGAGGATTATGAGAATCAGAATGTAGAGAATGCTGATAGGCATAATTGAATTGCTCCTTTAACAAGGCTGCGAGAATGACGATAATCAGAATGTGACATATCAAGTACACTAGGTATGAACAAGTTGATAAAAAAGAATGAGAGAGGCATAGGTAATACGAGAATGATTAAGAGTATTGAGAATTAGGAAGCGGTTGAATTATAAGAGATAAATACATGATAAATATAGTATATTTTCAGCTTTAGTCCGTGATAGATGGCGTCATACGTGCGAGTGGGAAACTATATTTTGAAGATCGAAATTAGAGTGGTTGACGGATCCGCTGAATCGAGAAGATGGATCGATGCCGCCAGAGAGGAGGCCCAGATCAGGTATGGAGAGATGACGGCAGATAGACCCACAAGCAGATCGTATAATCGTAGAAGGGAACGGGAGTGGGGAGCCCGAAGAAGAATGGCTTGCTGGTTTTGTGGAGGGGATCATATTTACGAAGATGTCCCACTATTAACACCAACAATCAAATGTTAGCGGTACAGGAGGACGAACCTGTGGTAGGACAAGGGAATAGTGTATGAGGGGTAGAATTAAGTAGAAGTGCGAAGGTGTTGAAGTTATTTAAAAAAAAGATATATTTTTTTTATGTTATGATTTGAATATTTAAATGATAGATGAATATTTAAGTTATTTGTAATGAACTTACATTTTTGTTAAATTTTGCATAAACAAATTTTTTTTATTTGAACATAAAAACCCATGATTATTAACGAACGTCTATGTACGAATAATATTATAGATTATTGTTATTTTGCATAGAAAATGTTTTGTTTTTTTGCATAGCAAATTTTTTATATATAAACTCGCAATTTTTTATAAAATACAATCAATCGGATACTGGAAAATAAACTACTTAAGGGTATTATTAAATTGATAGTGAATATAATCTTACTATTATTTATATCGAAAAATCAACAAATTCGACAGTCAACTGTGTAGTCGTTTATATATCATTTAAAATGGAAGATAATCTTTTAGAAATTTAATATCTCACAATTAATAATGTCATCTAAGAGGAAGCTCTAATCACCATATAGTTTTATGATTTAAATTGGTCGTTTATACTCTCTCTTACAAAAATTGTTGATTTGGTTTAGGCTTATAAATTTTTCCTTATTAGTCGATTCTATAAAAACATTGTCTAAAACCTTTACAGAGAATTATACTAGTTTGATAACCTTTTGTCAATGTAAGTTGCAAAGAATTATATTATTGCATTATGTGATTTTTTATATGCCAGTTTATTGTATGTATAATATAATAAATGACAAAATATGAAAATCAGAATAATTGGTCAGAGTTAACAAATTTTAAAAAAGTATAATATATTCATATAAAACCTGGCCGAAGGCTGGGCAAAAGCAGGCCGAAGGCCAGGCATAAACTTTTTTTTAGTTGAGCCCCCTGAGATTGTGAAGGCTAGCGACGCCCCTGTAATAAGCTAGTAAATATATTTTTTTTTCCATTAATATTAATTAAAAATATAATTATATATTATTTAATAATATTTAATCTCAATTTTTCATTGTTTATGAAAATTATTTATAAAAGATTTATATAATAAAATTTTGATTGATTTTGATTAATTATTTTTTGGCAATGCAGTTTAGCAATGCAGTATTTAGTTATAATACCCAAAAAAATTATAAAAATTAATCGAACTATAAATAACTGCAAAAAAATATGGCTTCGTTTCATCGACGCTATATCTAGGTTAAGGGTATAAAATAAAGATTACCGATCATTGTTGTAAATAAACGTTGCCTATATATATGATGATAATTATTATAATTTAGTAATAAAATCATTTGGTCAAAATTTCTGTAATCATTATTATTATATATAGTTTTGAAGCTTGTAAAAAATCCTTTCTGCTGATCAATATAAAAATAACTCATGGATGGTGTAAGTTCCTATTATTTAGGAGGGTTCAAATTGAGCATTACCATCTAAAACAAAATAATTTAACTAATTTATTTGTAATTGTATTTATAAAGAATATAATGGTTATGTATGAATGATTTATTCGTAAGATAGAATAATATAATGGTACATGTATGAATGATTTATTCATTCTTATTTCCTCATGTGAAATTATTCTCGGAATTAGGAACAATATTTCGATATCAAATGAATTATCTATAAATAAATTTGTATCGTTATGATATTAATAATTGTTAAAATAGCAGTAAAAAACGTCAATTTTTTGAAAAATATAATTAGTTATTGAATTTTTAATATTTATTCAGAAAATTGCTTTTCTCACCCCCTCCCCTTTTTTTAATATCCTTTTTGCATATAAATAATATTTAAATTTGGGCGACACTCAAAAGTTTATCTAAAATTGGGTTTATAAAAAAAGTATTAGCCTATCGAATATTATAGTTTATGCTCATTTTTTCCCACTTTTTTCTCTAAATTTAGGAACTGATTTTCAATCTCTTATAAGTCATAAAAATATAATTGTTCAGAGCACATTATGTCAGAATGGATAGCTCTAAGTTCCTACTTACCCTTATCCCTTTTACACTCTTTAAGATGCAAAATTTTTATATACTTGGAATTTTAATTTATCACTCCAAAAAAGGTTATAAATGATAGAATAGAAACTTTTATACGATATGAAACAGTTTAATTTATTAAAATTATTAAGTTTCATCAAATTTTATAAATTTACCTCAAATATACATGTTCGAATTATATATTATGTAAAAAAATCAACCACGATAGTTTGTTATTTTAGTAATAAATTGTTGGGCCTGTTCCCATCCCGGTCATCCCTATTAGAGATTGCAACGGAATAACTTCCCACCTGCCCACTCCTGCCCATTATAAATTTTAGAGATTAAATGGACGAGCGGATTAAACAAAGTTTTTATATAAAGGATACCGGGTGGATGAATTCAAAAACAAAGCATGGGCAGACTGGCGAGCATTTTAAAATCTTGTAAAACGATGAGCGAGTTTGAAACCCCGCCCCCCTTCTCTACATAACTTACGAGAAAAATTTTTTTTTAATTTTTTTCTTTTTGCGAATAATTTTATTTAAAAAATGGTTTAAATTTATAAATAAAATTATATAAGTTATTATAATGAAATATATTTAAAAAAACAAATAAGAATTTTCAATTTTAAATGATAATATGGTTTAAAAATATATATTAAAAATTATATGTAAAATATTAAATAACAATAAAAATATTTTGTAAATTTTTTCTCGCATAGTTAAATTAGATATTTATAAATTTAATTAAAATTTATATTGTTAAACTAATTAGATAGTTTTAAAAATTTTAATTAATTTATTATAATTTTTAAATAAAAGAAAAATTCAGCCCTAACCCGATTTTCCTACTTTTGCGGATTTCTAATAAGAATTTTTTATTAATATACTCATTTGTATTGATTATATTATAATTGTTAAATTAGATTTTTTTAAATACCGCACAAAAATAACTCATATTTTATTGTATCTATTTTTTTTAAATATAGTTATTTAGAATAAAATCTGTATAAAATTTATACATTTTGAATTTTATTTTATAAATCTTAAATAAATCTATAATAAAATTCTCTGCAAAATTTTGTTATATGCAAAAATTTAATTAAAATAATTATTTTTAACATAGAAGAAGATATATTGAGTGATCATAAAAAATGGGAGGTTAATTGACTAAACATTGATAAAATTTTCAGAATAATGCTTTCAGTCGCGTATTAATTATAAATTTGGCCAAAATTTTGTTACTAATATTTTTTTCATTTATGCTGGCTACTATAGTGGTTAGACACCAATAAAGCACAAAATATTAGCAAATTTTAAAAATACGGTTTGGGTGCTAAGCCCCCCCCCCAAATTTAAATCCCCTCCCATGGATCAATCCTGGCTACGCCACTGGTTATGATTCTTATATATTATTCATAGATACTTATAATAAAAATAAATTAATTTCATCTATTGTATAAATAAACAATATTATTAACTTAAATGATGGCAAATATTATAATAAATAATATTTATAATTAAAATCATTATACGATGGATGGTGTTGCTTCAATAAAAAAAATTTAGAAAAAAATTTCTAATCGTAATGAACCTTTATGAATCTTTACAATTAGCTGAACCGAACCGAACCGAAACTTTAAAAAAATTTTCTTAAGAACCGTAACCGAACCGTAGCCATTATAATTTTTTACATATAGAACCGTAACCAAATTGAATTATTATAAATAACGTAGCATGGCAGAGCCAAGGTTTAGAAAAAGCTGAAAATTAGCCAAATTGATGTCCTCCTTAATAAAAATTATTAGGGGTCGGACAACTTGTATAAAACATATTTTACTGGCTTGCCAGGTTAAAATAAGCGATGAGATATGAATTTGGTTAATATGATAAACCTTATGTTTATTTTGAAGATGGTGACGAATGCAATAACCTTATTTTAGAATTTACAATAAAACAATTTAGCGTTATTAACGAATTATAAAATATTACAAAACAATGATCTCAAATGAATGAATGTACATGATCGTAACTTTCTGATTTTATATTTATCCATCCATCGTATTTTATTAACATTTAGAGGGGAAATCCTTTAATTTCAAGATTAATAAATTTTTTCTTATATTATAAAGTTATATTTAGGTGATCAACATTCTAATTTTGGGAGTTATATAAAAAAATAATCAAGCATATACTTCGTCGAATATATTACAAGCATGGTTTTATTAAATTAAAATTTTCTTTTTATCTTTCTTTACGACTTTCTTTTTTATTTCAAAAAATAATATTCATTCTGGAATTATAAAAGTAACTATAGAATTTTTTAATATATTTGCTACATACATATTACAAAATTAATTTTTTCAAATATTATACATAATTAATAAAGTATTTTAACGAAATGTTTCAAAACACCAAGAAAATTAAAATATATAATTTAACTTGTAAAAATGGTTAATTATAAACTGAAATCATTAATGGGTAGAGCGTATTAAATTAAAACGGAAATTATATAAATATTTTTCCGATCCGATCCGACCCAACCCAATTTTTTTTAAAAAAATAATCCCGACCATAAATAAATCTAATTCCTTATTCTCACCCATCCCGACTAAGTTCTAAAGTTTATCACATTAACTAGTAGAACTAACACAAATTTTCAAAAAGTTAGAATCTACAGCACTCAAACAGCTACCAAAATTTTGCCAAATTTTTTTAAATTTCTGATAATATAATTCAACAAAACTCCCACATTTTAATTATTTTCCCAAAATCATGCTTTTGAAATTATTTTTATGATTTTAAATTCTAAGGGTATTGGACTTATTGGCTTAAGAACATTTTATCTTGATGATTAGTTTTATAAAATAAGGTCTTTGGATTCTTTTATGATGTATTTGTGCAATTGATGCAAGCGAAATCTTTAATTAAAAATTCTGGATTTTAGTATTTACAAAATCTTATCATGATTTGATCTATTAGCTAATGTAATAGTAACAAGCCATTCTAATTTTCATTTTTAAAAAGTATCTGTAAAATAATAAAATTATTTATTTAATAAAAAAAATAAATTAGATTTCACTTTAGTTCTAATTGAAGGATGATTTATCAAAAAATGTAGTAAACCAAATAGAAGATCTGATAAATTTGATTTTAAGATTTTTAAAGCAAATATGATATCATTCGCTGAGTCCTGATGTCTCTTCTGGTTATACAGCACAGAATACTAGAAATATGTGTTGGACAAAAATAGCAAGAAGACTTGGACATAAAAGGACTGGACAAATACCCCCAATTTTTAGATATAAGTAGGCTTAAAAGAATACATTTGGGTACTTTTATCCTGGTCTTTTTTCCAGGAAATCTCATTCCAGAATTCTACAGTACAACCTACCCCTCTATTAATATTGGAGTGCACTGTTAGATTTTAGTGTTACTTTCTTTTATAAAAGAGATGAGAAGATTAAATTTATCAGCGCCAAAACAACTAGATTTAAACACATGACGACCACTCTGTCATTATTCATTTGATCGACATTTTGTTGTTCCCTTGAAGAATTTATATTTACTTCATGTTTTTTTATATTTAATTGTACAGTCATTATCGATTTGTTTTATTATATATTCCTGTAGATGACGCATTTATCCTTTATGGGCTGAATCTCTATAGGCATGCAATAAAACTGATTATATAATTTTTTGCGTTATACTTGTTTAAAAATATTTCATGCATAATCTTTAAATTCAAGTTCTGATGTAAGTAATCTTTATTAATGTCATTCCTTCTACAATGTGATTTAATCATATGATAGGATTTGATGTGTTCGAGCATCTTTCTTCAATTCTTAGCTAATTATTTTTCTGTTTGCTACTCTTATACTTATAGGAATATATAAGACTATTTATCTTTTTTCGAATAAATATATGTTTGCTGAGTTATATTTAAAGTTGACAAAATAAAAATATTTGCATACCTATACTTTTGCTCATTTTTTGCTAAAATAATAAAAATAAGTAAACTTTTGAATTTAATCCTAAATCCTTGCTTTTTCCAATGCGTCAAAAATTTTAATCAATTTTTTAAAATTTTAATCAATTTTTTTTTATACAAAATTAAAAATTTGATGCTAATATAGTGTAATATTATCAAATTATATTTTAATAAGAATAATTGATTTATTTTGATAGACAATTAATTATATAATGTGAAAAATATTATTTTTTAAAGAAATTTTATAAATATTTTTTAAAGAAATTTTATAAATATTTTTTAAAGAAATTTTATAAATATTTTTTAGTGTAGTAACAGAGCCACATTTTTAAATTATTGTTTTGTCCGAATTTATAAAGAAATTGGCATTTTAAATTTTTATTACATTTTATAAATATTGAAAAATGAATTTATAATCTTCTTTTTAAATTGGGTACAAAGGCCAGAAACAATTTTTTTTTGCAAATATCTATCGCAATAATTATTACTTGGCAATCTGAATTCGCCTCGAATCAAAAAATATATAAATATACTAAAATTTATTTATATTTTAGTGTCATAAGGAATAATCTATTATCATGATTTACTGATATCACTGAAACAGATTCAATTCATAATTATAACAAAAATATTTACACACATGACCCAACCGCTAGAAAAAATTACTGACCCGATCTAACCCGAGATAAAAAAAAATCAATTATAATAACCAGACCCAATCCATGGGTCAGGCCGGTGGGGTTGGTCTTCGTGTGGGTCGAGTTTTACAGACCTCTTATTGAAACTAAATTTAAAAGTTTTATAAATTTTAAGGTTTGGACTTTTCAAAATGATATTTTCCTCTTTTAATTACTATATGATATTAATATATTATTGTAGAAAAAGTTCAACAAAAAATTTATTTTGCAATTTATAATTTGAATTGGGATAAAAACCTTACCACGACTTACTAATTCAGATGCTGGTAAAGGAATTGTATTTTTAAAAAAAACATAAGCTCCATAGTATATAAATGATATCTTCCAATGCAAAAGAATGTATGTTCAAAATAAGGTGCATAAAGGTGGAAGAGATTGATAGGATGCCGGAGTGGATTTACAAAGAAGTGGGCTGGACTAATAATGATTCCATATTCCTCAAGATATGTTACGATATAGATCCGAAAGGCTGGTTCGTGGCTGTCACCTCTGATGAAGACATTATTGGTATCGCTTTTTTAAATCAAAATATTATGAACTAGTTTGAAAATTATTCTCTCATACCTTCCCCCTGCAACCCCTCTCTCTTCTCAAGGAATTATGTTCATTAAATCTGTAAATATATTTTGAAAAATTGAAAATGCATTCAAATAAATGTCTAATAAGTAATAATGCCCAGCCGTTGGACTCAATTCTATTTTATATATGTTATAACTAAAAGCAATATGAATAATCACGTGTTAGTTTATAAAATCGTTTGAAATTTATAGAGTAGGCATTTTACACATGCTAGAATATATTTCCGGCTTAATGCGATTTTTCAAACGCGCCAAATAATCATAAAAAGTTGGAAAATATCAAAATCATTTGTTGAGCTCCCATTTAAATTTGTAGATCTGATTTTTCTGAAAATATATTCCAATATGTGTAAAATATCTTTACTAAAATTTTTAATTTGGCCAGAAGCCATTGAGCTATTTTCAATCTATATATAAAAAATTATAGGTATTGTCTAAGATATTAATCAAGCAATACATCGCCCAATGCTGGTAAGATTTATATATAGAAATAAAATATAGTGTATAAAAATATAAAACAATGATTAAGATAAAATATAAATTATAATAATCTTTAATACAACAAATTTCTATTATATTTTAATAAATAATAATTGTTTTTCAAAAATTTTGCCTGATAAGAAAGACTGCTTTGTTTTTAAAATAAATTTTGTTACGCTAAAAAAGCTTTTCACGGTATTTGAGGATACGATTACCACCGTGTTTTAAAAATGAAATGAAATGAATAAAGATTTTATTTTAAGAAATTCATTAAGAATATTCAATATTGTGCCTTTCGTTAAAATCCACAAGTTTATTTTTGAAAAAAAAGAAATTTCAGAATTGATATTTTTAATTTCAAATTTTAGGTAGACAGAGGCTAGTCAGAATTGGAAGAGCGCTGAAAAGTATTTGAAGGAAACAGCTAAGTAAAAAAAATATTTAAAAAAATTAAAATACAAATTTAAACTTATTTTGATAAATGAACCTAAAAAACGAACGAGTTTGTCAAAAAAAATTAATGTTAAAAATTCGTCTAATTAAACCGTTTACCATATTTTTCTAACAACAATAATTTATTTACGAACGCACTTGTTTACAAGACTAATTTTTAACTATTTTCTAAAAAAAAATTGAAATGATTATGAACATTATGACAATACAATCACCGCCTTTCTGAATTAGCACTGAAAATATAAAAAAATTTAAAATATCTATTATTTCTATAATATAACCAAATAAAATTAAAATGTTTTAAAAATGACAATGACAAAATTGTCAGATTTCTAAATTACATTATCAATAAAATTATATCAAAAAATTGAAAAGTTTTAACATATTGCATCAAACAATGACGATTTACTCTATTAAAGCAGGCAATGAAATTCGCCACTTTATCAATAAAGCTAATGAATTTTCTTATAAGTGAGCCAAAAAATTAAAATTTTTAGATATCATTACAGTTGCCTCTCGAGGGCCACAAGAATTAAATTTATAATTATTTATACATTTTAATTTAGTCTCCTTTTAAAGTTTATAATTAAGAATAGTTTAAAAACAATAATTTATAAAGAATAAAATTAAATTAATTGTCACCTTTCTGAATTACATTATCAATTTAACCAAAATATCTTGATCTATTTTAAATTATTTTCTTTAAAAAAAAAATTAAAAAATTCTATCATAAAACATAATGATTTTGATGTCAAAGAAATAACCCATATTTTTTACAGGAGTAGTAAGTAAACGACTTATAACTTTGAAAGAGGGAAGAAATTAAATTTAATATTTAATTTTGGACAGCATCTGATTCATTCATTCCATATATATATATAGCAAAAATTCATAATTTAAATCAGCGCATTGATAATGAAAATGACGATAGTCATTGCATCTTTCACTTAACCCATGTTAAATGTTACCTTAAACGGGATTAAGAAAAGACATGAGAAAAGATTATTACTTAATTTCGATTATAATTCCCTTTTCTATGAGCACAATACACAAACATAAGATTGGGAGTACCGAATTCAGAGGTTGAAAAGTTACAAAATCTCGTTATTAAAGCTGTAGCACTAAAAATAAAACCACGGTGATTATACCCAATTCGAATAAACAATAGTTAGTCAATGATAACAATTATTATTCTTTTTCCTTCAACCAATTACCCTGATATAATAAATAAAAATTTTAAATATCAGTAATTTTCTAATCTCTATTTAATTTGTTTAACAAATATCTCGGGAACTATTCACAGACTGTAAATTTTTATATCTTCTTTCTACAACCTTTATAAGGAAATTTTTAGTGTATTTTGAAATTTGATGGCATTAAGTTACATAATTTAACACTTGCATTTATGATGATATCTAAAACGTAATTTAAGGACAGTCATTTTTTCAGGTATTTAAAGGTAATATAATATTTTATTTATGCTTTGTCTTCTCTCTATACCTCATACCAATAATAATTCAAGGAACATTGCTGAGTGTCAACTTAAACGATCAATATTCGTTCGCTGGCTTGTATTTGGTATCTAAGAAGCATCGATTCAAAGGGATTGGAAAGATATTACAAGACATCATGTGTAAACACGTTGCTCATAGATGTTTAGGCGTCAATTCTGTAGAAGAAAGGGTTTCTTCTAATCTCAAAATAGGAATGATCCAATCATTCAAAGGTATAGACACAAACAATTTATATATTTAATTTCTTTTACAATAATAAGAGAAAGTTTGAAAATCAGCAAAATATTGGTCAAAGTGGCAACTCACGATCATTGAATATAAATATTGATCAATAATCTACATCTAATAAAATAAAATATTTCATATATATTCTTAAAAGTTGCCATATTCAAGGGTTGCTTAATACGTAACGCTCCAATATTTCATTTCTTGTCTAAGTATAAATCCATCGATGATCACAAACCACTTAATACCGTTGCTAACGGAATGATATGCAATCAAAAAATTCAGTGCAATGCTAAAGATCAACACCAATGCAATAAGATTGAAGCCAAAAAACCCGTCACCTATCTTACCACACAAACAGATCTCAAAAATAATTCTGTGATAGACCAGGAATTAGAGAAAAAGCAAACTATTTGCGAAAAGGGTTATAACGACAACAGCCACCCTTTTTTAGATGATAAACTATCTTTGAAATATAATAGCTTGAATACTAATGACGATTTATCCAAGCATAGACATGACTCATTACAAGGGAGTGATAATATAAGCTTAATACTTAAAGATGGCATGGATATCAATTTCTCCAGCTTATGCAATTACGATGCTGCAATTCACGGAGGCATACCCAGGGAAATATTTTTGAAGGCCTTTATACAGTTATCTGCAAAGGTTTAATTTTTTTTGAATAATCAAGTTCTCAATTAGTTTTTGTATCTTAAATTGTTTTATAAAATTTTGGATATATTTTGTCAATTTATCCACCAATCCATATTTCTTTAAAAAAAATATAATGGCGCAAAAAAGTGGTTAATTTTATCTACTATATAATATATATTAAGAGTGACAATGCAATAAAATGTATAGTGGCTCTCAAAAAGTCTGAAATGATGGCAAACGATAAGCAAGCTTTATCTGATCAGATATGTGGTTACGGAATTATACGCCCTAGATGGAGATCCCTTTCAACTGAGAATGAATTGATTACTTTCCCTAACACAAAAAATTTAACTCCTCTAATATCTGAGCATCACCTGATTATAGGCCCACTGTACGCCGATAATCCAGAAATTGCTAAAATCATATTGAAGGCTCTACTAGACACGGTCCCTTACGAATGGAAGATTAATGTAGAGTTAACCGTTCCTTTCAAGATAAAAGATGAAGTCGCAGGTCCTTTGAACGATTCTACATTTAATCCAAATTTCTTATATATGACTGCTACCAAAGAGTTGGGTCTTAGCAGAGAAGGAGAGTGTTTCAGAATGTACAAAAATGATATAATGAAAACACTTAATAGGAACGAGGAGGATGAATCAATAAAAAATGTTGATAAAAAGATAGATCTAATTCCTTTTCCTAATATTTTAATGGAAAAAGTTTATTCTTTAGTGAGTTTGGATTATTTTTTAATTTGAGCCAAATGTTTAAATCTTTATTTAAAAAATATATACCTTAAAAGAGTCTATGACTGTCTCAAATAAACACAATTCCCTTTTTGCTTATATAAATGTTAATAAATTATAAGTTGGAATTATTTATCTTGCTATATATTAATATAATTATAATATTTTTTATGTATCAAGTGTAATATAAAGTATATTGAACTTATTATTAAAATTCCAACATCTATATCATAATCTTATTCAAGAATTGGGCATTGTACAAACCTACATTATATTATTATAATTCATTTTACATATTTATTTCCTGCGTAATAAAAAAAATATTCAGTAACCCTATTAATTTCTGATAATAGCTAAGAGTTAAAGGAACTAGATAGTATTAAATCAATTCCTCTTTCAGTCTTATAATCCTTTAGTCAATTTCGGAGGAGATTTATTTTTAATTCTAAATAGGAAGGTTCTTCCTTTGCTAAAGATGACCATCTTAGGATTAATTTTCACATATATAGGATTACCGATATCTATAAATTTTACAGAATCCTAAGCAACTACATTTTTTATGATTATTTGCTTGTTTTATAAATTTTCCAGAAATATTTTTATTTAAAAATACTACTAAAAAAGGAAATTAATTACCAAACTCAAATCTAAAAATAAAATCCTGTCTATATTTATCAAAGACCTGCAAGCCCGGCCCGGCCCGGCCCTGACCGGGCCGTATTTTAAATTTTTTAAATATACCCGGGCCGGGCCTAAAAAAATTTTTTTTAAACATTTTTTTAAATATATCCGGGCCGGGCCTAAGATTTTTAAACCCGGGCCGGGCCGGGCCTTAATATTTTTTATAAAAAATTTTACATTATGAGTTATTGGTTATAAGATTATATTATATTATAGTTATGATTAATATAATATTGGGTGATGGTTAACACTACCTAACACCCACAGATCGATCTAATTATTAATTTCCTGCAAGATACCGGAAAACTCCATTTTAAATTACTTAATATATTTTAATATCTAAAATTGCAGTGCTCCACTAGTCATTTTCAAATTGTGTTAGAAAACTTAGAAGTTAGACTTAGAACAGTATGTATAATTATCAAAGACCTGCAAGCCCGGCCCTAAGCCCGGCCCGGCTGTCATTTATTAAATACAATTTTAAGAAATTCATTTAACTCCAAATATTTGGAAAGTAATGCCCCATTAATAAAATCAACAATAGATAATACTAAAATATTAGTGGGGCATTTAAAACAAAGTAATAAATGCCAGCATTTAAAAGCCCTTTATCAAGATATAGAAGTCCGCTGGAACTCTAAATACAATATGATCAATTCTGTTTATTCTCAAAATGAAGAAATTAAAAAAGTTCTTCTAGAACATGGGGGATCGGAAAAGTATTATATTATAGACTTTCCGATCCTTCAGGATCTAGTCAACATTCTTGAGAATTTTAACAGAGCTATTGTTGAGTTACAGTCTGACTCTTGTACTCTTTTTAAAGTGGTAATATGGTATTATGAACTTCTTGAAGTTTGTAATACCTTTCAAAGCGAAAAAAGAGAAATAAAATTGATATTACTTAATATAAAGCATTTTTTAATTGAAAAATTTGTTTTACACAAGTATCATTTTATTTCTCTTTTTCTCTGTCCCAAATTCAAACAATTACGTATGTTGTCAGGGACAGATCGCAAGATGACGGAAAACTATATAAAAGATTATATTAAATCACAAGAGGCTCAGGAAGTAAATGAAATACCATCGACCAGTCAAATTACGACTGTTGTTAAACAAACTGAATCGTTTTATGACAAATGGGGCGATGGTAATTCTGGTAATATGTCAATACCGATGATGAATATTATAATTACATAAATAAAAAAATAGATGAAACATTTAAGGTGGATAATTTGTTAGAGTGGTGGGCTTCTCATCAAAGCGAATTCCCAGTTTTAGCAAAATTGGCAAAACGGGTATTGGCTATTCCTGCTTCAAGTGCAAGCTGTGAGCGGAATTTCCACTACTGGAAGAATTCTTGAAGAAAGAAGAAGTAATCTTCAACCTGAAAAGGTAGATATGCTTCTCTTTCTTCATGATAATTTGTGAATTTTTAATATCTTTCTTGAGTATAGGGTTTCGTCAATCATGCTGGTTTTTTACTTTGCAAACTGTCAAATATTTATTGCATTTATTATATTTTACCTTGAGTCATGAAAGTTTTTTATTATTTTTTTTTACAATATATTATATAATACAATTATCTTCTTTTGTTAAAAATTTATATTATAAAATAAATTATATTAATATTGTGCAATTTGATTATATTTTCAAAATACTATTTATTATACATGCATTTTTTTAAATAGCGATTTATTTTTACTTTATAAATTAAATAGTAAATTAAATACAATATATTATATTCTCAAAATATTTTTCATTTTTATAAATTATATATTAGTTTTATTATTTTTAAATGCAATATAAAATATAGTATATGCTCAAAATATTATTACCATTTTTATGAATATTAGTTTTATTTTTATAAATGCAATATAAAATATAGTATATGCTCAAAATATCCATTTTTATAAATAACAGTTTTATAATTTTTATAAATTTAATATAATATTCTCAAAATATTAGCTTTTTACATGTATTTTTTAAATAAAAATTAAAAATCACAAATAGAATCTTTTATATTCAAAAATATTATTTGCACAAATTTTTTATAGTATCAATTTGTAATTAAATATCTGAATAAAATATGAAATATACTTATATCCGGGCCGGGCCGTAAAAAAATTTTTAAAAAAATATCAGGGCCGGGCCTTAAATTTTTAAATCCGGGTCGGGCCGGGCCGGGCCGTAAAAAATTTTTTTTAAAAATATCCGGGCCGGGCCTAAAAATTTTAAAACCGGGCCGGGCCGGGCCGGGCCGTGCAAATGGTACCTCTGCAGGTCTCTGATATTTATATAAAAATAAATCGTTCATTATTCAATTTTATTTTATACAGTATAATTGGAGAATATATGGCAATTAACTGAAACAAAAAGTTTTTTACGGTCCACAAACATGAGTATTATAGATATTTTAATTAAATTAAATATTACTTTCACAAATTCTGTACACAATCAAGTTCAAGTTTTAAGAAAAATTTATTCTATATAAAAGTAAGTTGCGCGTAAGTGTCGTAAAGAAGCCATGGGGATTTGAAATGTCTCATTAAATCATATTTGCAAAACTGCATTTAAATAAGCCCTCTATTTTTTTTAAGGATGGATGAGAGATATCATAACGGTAATATATCAATTTCTATTAACAAAGACATATTCTATGCATTCACTAATAGGACGCATTAAATTTGCTATATTCTTAGGAAATTCCAATTATAATAAAATTAATTTTGTAGATTCTATCCTGGTCTAACAATTGTTCTATTGAATAATATCTATGTTGTTATAGTAAAATAAACTATAAATTCAATTAAATAGATAAGATAATTAAATACTTAATTTATAATCATTGGCTTGGGAAATATATGAAACTTATGCTATTACTGTCTGTTTTTTTCCGTCAAATAGTTGTTAAAGATGCCTTACCATAAATGTTCTTAAGCGAACATTGTTAGAGAAAATTGTCCTTTATCAATCTTATTTCTCATATTACTAAAATTTATTGTAATAAAACAATGAAATAACTATCCCAAATATTCCTCCTCTTGGTGACAGGGACACTCTAGAATTGGATAGATTAAGTTTTGAAAATTGATCGTATATTCTACTTATTTTCGATTAGGTTCCGATTATAGAATTTAGCTCTACTATTTCTTACGGCTAATATCCTCCGTAACCCATAACTTTCTAGTGATCATATAGTTAAGGGCACAACCGGATGTGTGATTATAGCATTATTTTTGTATGTATAACGTTTCTCACATATTTATGCATTGCGAAGAGTTTTTTTTTAAAAAAAAATATGCAAAAGTATCAGTATTTGTAGCGAAGATTAGCGCTTCGGTTTTCTCCTTTTAGACCTAGCCGTGATTTGGTCTTGAATTGGTTCCTCGGTTTAATTTTTGCATTCGGACTTAGGCTCGGTCCGGTTTAGGCCAATAGAAATTTATCATGTTTTTATAATTATCAAATAAATATACAATTCAAGAACAAGTTTTATTCATATACAAAACTAGTATTCTAGGTTTTTTAAATATTATTTGCCATTAACGAAATGAAAATTACAATGTAAGGATAAAATATTCAAATGTTTAGGAAATTTCAATGGCTAAACCATTTCAAAATCTCACCTGCCAAAAAGAATAGGCAATGTTTTAATTGTTGAAATGTTTAAAGTTAGTTATATTAACTCTTGGAATATTGGATTTAATTAATATAATAATGAATATAATATATATGATAATTTACAATAGAGAATAATTAAATGAATACTACTATTCCTACTAATGGTTATCTTATATATTTAATCCTTTACTAAAAATTATTATATGCCTGTAAATTAACTTGTAAATATTATTGAAAGGGAATAAAGAATTCAAGCAACTTCAGTTCCCTATGAACAATTATTTTCCAAATCAGTTGACTTGAAGGTAGATGAGAAATTGATTATCAAGCAAAATTATACAATTTATCATATGAATTGGGTCATGGCTCTAAATGGGATATTTTGTAGAACATTTTTAATCAAATCTTATTGAAGTTGATACTATTATCCTATAATTGCAAATAATATTTATATTGATGTATGTAATTTATCATATTTCATTCTTTCTATATTATCATATAAATAAAAATTTTCAGTTTTATAAAGATATTTTGTTTTAAATAGGCATTTAAAATAAAAGTGGCCCAGACCACGGTCCGGTTTGGATTTTATAAATGTACCTTACTATTCGGCTTAGTCTTTAGCAACAATTCCTCGGTTGTGTCTTTAAAATCGGCTTCAAACCTAACAGGTAAGAACCATGAAGTCCATTAAATATTTATTTGTAATAATAAGTGTACTAG